TTTCAAGCATGGTTCTCTTTACCTGGGACACCTTCAACTTCCACATCCACCTGGTGGACAGGAACTTACTCTTTAAGACTTGGGTCAGCTGGGCGCGGTGGCTCATGCCTGTAATCCCAGTACTTTGAGAGGCCGAGGCAGGCGGATCGCCTGCAGTCAGGAGTTTAAGACCAGCCTGGCCAACATGGTAAAAACCCATTTCTACTAAAAATACAAAAATTAGCCAGGCGTGGTGGCATGCGCCTGTAATCCCAGCTACTCTGGAGGCTGAGGTAGGAGGGTCGCTTGAACGCAGGAGGCGGAGGTTGCAGTGAGCCGAGATCATGCCACTGCATTCCAGCCTGGGTGACAGAGCGAGACTCCATCTAAAAAAAAAACCCCCAAAAATGAAAAACAAGGTGCAGTCACTGTGCCTCTCCATGCCTGAGATAAGGCGAACTTTTGGTGCTCCCTTGTCCTAAACAGATTCCCCTGGGCACCTGGTACAGCAAACTCTAGGCACAGGGATGGGAGAAGGGAGTCCAAGGACTCCAGAGGACTCTTCCTCTTTGATTGTAAAACAGGAACAGAAACATCTCAGCAGCTCTGGGGAAAACTGTTCAGAAACTTCCTCCTCCGATCATTTATTTTGAGTTTACACTGCATGCTGCGGTGCCCACTGCTCCCCTCTTCTCCAAACTCACTTCCCTGAATACTGACAACACGCACAAAGTGTTAAACATTTTTCGAGTGCTCTAAGCCATGAATGATAACCATCAACAAACTCTGGTTTAGAATTCACCCTGGTGTCATCTGCATATTTTGTTTCCATGTGAAACCAAACTGAGAAAGGTTTTTTAAACAATCCGAACTTATATCCTGCTTTAAATTCATGCTGTGGGACTTAAAAAGACTGAATTCTTCACCCACCCCTTAGTTGCGAAAATACTATTTATTTTTCCTGCAAATGGACCATCTACTCGGGTAAAACAAATGTATTTCTCTCTTGAGATGTGTATACGTAGCATTTCTTTCTTTTTTTTTTTTTTCCTGGCCAAACTCGCAAAAGCCAAACATGTCACGGAATGACTGATATCGTCCTTGACTGAAAAAAACCTTTATCTCTCATCAAGCAGAAATCAGGACATCTGGATTCTAGACCCAATTTGGCCATGACCTAGGCTGGGTGACTTTGGGGATCCCTCCCATCTCTCTGTTGCTGGTCTCTGTTCTGAAAACTGGTGGGGTGGGGTTGGGCGAGAGAGAGGAATGGGTCTGAAACCCATCCAACCCTAAAATCCTATGACTTCAGATCAAAACATGGGTAAACAATGGCAAGATTTTTGTTCTGAAAAATATTTTAATGTGGACTCAGATGGGTCCTGAGAAGCCTTCTGTGTCATGCCATCTCCCAGGGAAAACCCCCAACTTCCACGTCCCAAGTGAGGGGTGTCTGTCGTGTTTTCTCACCAGTCCCTTTTGCCCTGTCCATCCCCATCTGCTGGAACTTCAGGTCTTTGCTGCTAATGGCATGGGCTTTGGAGGTGTTTGGGAGGGTTTAAAGGCCTGGGGGTTACCAGAGGCCACCCTGGTTAGTGGCTCTTCCCGCAGGATGCTGGCTTGTGGGGGAGGGTAGCTCTCTGGTGCTGCAAACGCCTTTTTCCCACCCCGTAGATCCTACAGTGGGGCTTCCCAGGGTGCAGGGAATGACTAAGAAACCCTCAGACACGGGCACCATGTCCGTCAGAATTTCCACACTTTTCTGAAAGCTGAGCCTTGACTCTCCCCCCCAGAGTCAAGGTCTCAGGGATATGGTTAATGCCTCTGGGACTGGAATTCCCTGGAAACATAAGCAGGAGGCTGAATACAGCTTGATGTTGGTGTGGTCAGAGCAAGCTGGCAGGCGCAGGCTGTGGGAAGACACCCCGCAATGGGACAGGCACAGAGCTCAGCCCCCAATCGCGACGACTGTTCCCCTTCAGCCCCAGGTTCCTTAAATCTGCATCTGGAGCTACCAGTGAAAGAGGGGATTACTTGGGGGTTTAAGGAGCCCGGCCCTACTGCCCAAGACCAGGGGCCGTAGCTCCCATCCCAGGGTCGGGAAGTCAGGGACTGGGGATTGTGTTCAGCCTCGGCCCCGGCCTAAGGACATTAGGAAGTCCGTCCTTCCCTACAGGCCTCTGAAAATGGAACATGGAGGCTGGCCTGCCAGTGTCTTTGTTCTACGAATCCTCTGGGTCTCCCAGGGTCCTCCGCATGTTGTGTAGAGCTTCCTGTCCACGGAGCTGTCTCTGCTCAGCCCCTTCGCCTCCCAGTTTCACTGTCCCTGGAGACCACTGGGGTTGGGGGTCTTGTCAGAGAGCAGGGAAGAAAAGCTCAGCACTTCGTGCAAGCTTAGGCTCTGGGTTCTGTCTGAGTGCTGGGCGGCAGCGAGGGTGTAGCTCTTCAAGGCAGGAAAGAAAGCCTCAGTCCCTGAGGGGAGGCCGTCCAGAGCTGATGTCACCTCTTGCTGTGCAGTCAAGAGGCTCCAGGGCCAAGTGGATGGAGTGCCCTCCCCCTACACCTCCCCACCCATTGCCAGGGAGCCCTGCACCCCTGTGGCTCTGGCTCTCACCTCCCCGCACCGTGCTCTGACCTCAGGGCCCAATGCCAGCGCGGAGCCCACCAGCCTGGCCCACAGGAGCAAGGTGAATAGAGACCACACATCCTCCGCAGCACGGGAACGCCCTGCTGGCTCCACCTCCTCGCTGCTCTCTCAAGTCTGCTGCAAGAAGAGCCGCCAGAGAATTCCTGACAAGAGCCCCTCTGGCATGCGGGCAGCGTTTCTGATCTCAAAGGCCATCTTTCCACACAGTTCCTCCCTTCCTGCCCACCCCCATCAGGAGTTGTTTATTTCTCAGAACTAAATGCCACGATCCTTCTCAGCTACCTTGGCAGCATTCTGTCAGAAACCAGTCAACAAACAGAGCAGGGAAAAACAGCACCCCGAAGATGACATTCAGGACCCAGCCCTTTAGACAAAAGGGATCAGATCGGGTCTACTAGATGGCCCCATTCAGTCAGACACACCCAGTTAAGCAGCCCTTGAAAGCGACTCTAGAGAATGCTAGAAGAACTGTGAAGCTCACAGATGGCCTCATGGACTTTAGCACTTCAGGTGGGGTGAGTGTGGGAGGTCCAGAATCAGCCTGGGCACTCGCTTTACTGCGGGCAAGTCCATCACTTTCGAGGACAAGGTGCTGTCACCTGCCTTGCTCCTATTTGATCCTGAATCATGCCTCAGGGAGGGGAGGGCAGAGAGGAAGCAGGGGCAAGTTTAAGTGTCGGGGGCATTGGGGAGGCCTCTTTTTGGGAGTGAGGTCTCCTTCTGGTCCTGCACAGCTGCGACGAAAGGGCCTGCTGCGCCATACCACCCTGAGTGTGCTTGATCTCATCTGAAGGACCTACCGAGGCCAAGGAAGCATGACAATGACAGACCATTCAGCTGTAGTTTACATCTCAGCTGATAGGAGCAACTGAAGAGACGGCAGTTGAAGTGTCTGATGTGTACTGCATGGCCAGGAATAATCCTGCAATGATCTGGAGGATGAGGCAGGCACCAAGAAGTGAGCCAAAGTTTCATCATATAAAAATGTTAGATGGTGTGGGAAGATCAATGAATGAGTAATTAATAATTTTTATTAGCGGGTGTGTTTTGCGGGTCTTGGCCATTAGTGTTCTTACAGTTGAAGTATAACAATAATTTTTCATGTCATTAGTCATGGTTATAGTCCTTGTGGGAATAATGGCACATGCTATATTTTTATTAAGTGTCCTTTTGGTTGTAGGGTTTGTAGGTTTCTCTTCGAAACCTTCTCCTATTTATGGAGGCCTATGGCTAATGATTAGTGGTGCTGTGGGTTGTGGTGCTGTGGGTTGTGGTGCTGTGGGTTGTGGTATTGTGTTGAATTTCGATGGGGCTTTCGTGGGGCTGACAGTCTTCTTGATTTATTTGGGTGTCATGAGACCCCTTTCTATGCCCAGCTTGTGACTCTGCAGTGGCCCCAGTCCCTGAGTTTCCGGGGGGGAAGCTAGAACACAGAGACTCTTCCCCAGGCCCCATCCTCCCAGAGCCAAGACCGGAGCCCAGATGCCAGAGGCAGTGATACTCTGCTCGCGCCCTCGCATGGGACAGAGCCAACTTACACCACATGCTGGGTTTGGGGATTTTTCTTTTGCTCCTTTTTCAACTTGGCTGGGAGACTGCTCATTCTTCTCTGGCAAGTCTCCAAGATTCTACATGTAGCACTTTGTGGGGAAAAGTAAACCCTAGAAGAGTGGCACAACTAAATAAGCTGATTCCCTTGTCAACATTCTAGCAAGGACTGCATCAGAAAGAACCGGGTGGTCTGCCAGATCGTGAGCTCTCCAGCGTCACTCCTCCATCAGTGGCAAACGGGGAAAACAAAGGCGATGCCACTTTGTCTCCGCACCTTTCCCTGTGTAACACCCAGGGAGGGGAGGCCTTTAACAAGGTCAATAGCTGAATTTGTGCAAGCACCTCCGATGATTTTGGGAAGCGTGTCTGAGTGGGTGTATTACACAGAATAATAATCACAAACAGGTACTGAGTCCTCGTCAGGGGTCCAGCACGATCATAAGCACTGTACACAGATTAACTCATTCAATTCTCACAACGACCTTATGAAGTAAGGACTCCTGTTATCACCATTTTACAGATGAGAACACTGAGGCACAGAGATTATACCCAGCTGGGCTAGTGAGCGGCCAGGGGAAGCCTCCAGATCCATGCACACAATCACCAGGTTTATGACACCTCGAGAAATGAGGCCAGTGCCCCTGGGGTCTATCAGCATCTCTTGCTAGACCAACAGAGCCCTAAAAAAGGTAGGGAGCCTCCTTTAACACTTGAACCCCAGCCATGGCTCCAGCCTCTGAACCTCCAAACTCATAGAGCTGCTCGGGAGACAGCTAGCCCTGTGCCAACACCGTATCCCGGGACCCCAACAACATGTCCTTACTGGCATCCCCGGCTCTGTCTCCTTTCTCTCCTTTCTCTCCTTTTGGGCCTCGCTCACCTAAAACAGAGAAGGAAAACTGGCATTAGAAATGGAAACAAATCCTAATTGTGAATAAAATGTTACCTGCAGGAGACTGATGAACTCGAGACCAGAGAAACCCTCAGGCGGGAGCCAGCAGCCACTGGAGAGCCCAGCAGGCAGGAGAAGAGGGCAGCCAATTCTGCCATCTGCCCTGGGTACCCCGAGAAGGACGAGGCACGGGTGAGAAAATCCCACCCCTTCGTAAAGAACCAAAGAGCAGCCTCTACCAGTACAGCCTCAAAGAGCACATGGAATTTTGCAGGAAGAAGACAAGTCAAAGATACTCCTATTAAACACCCAGGGTTTTAGAAGTCCACATCCAAGTTTGTTCTAATGAGCCCAGGGGAAAACAAGGGAGAGGGGGCTTTAGTTAAATAAGGGGAGAGGCGGGTTCTATGTCAAGCAGGTTTTCTTGTGGGAGACACCATAAAACGTTAAGTGTGAGATACCAGGGAACTGTGGCATTTCCTTCCCAGGATATGGCTAAAGGAGATAGATAAAAGAGGATATGACCTCTTTGGCCAGCTGGCATCTCCCTCTACAAAGAAGTAGAAAATCCTGGCACCACTCGCTGGACATTAAAATGAAAAGGGACTTCAATTCCAAGGACCTCCAGAAAGACATCTGCAAATCAAAAGCCCATGGGCATGCTGTCTGGTGAAAAAAGAAAGCCAGCAAATTCCAGGGGAGAATGCCCAGGATGATCTAAGACTTGAAAAAAAAAAAAAAAAAAAAAAAAAAAAAAAAAAGGCAGCCATATACATATATAGGAATGTGCTCAGAAAACTATCTGGCAGGGTATGCTCCAAAGCATTGACAGTAGTTATTCTAAAGAATAAGGGCTGGGGGAACTGAGGGGTGGAGACTTTTTGCTTTATGAACTTCTGTGTTGTCTAATTTGTTTTGTTTTTTTAATTTTTAATTTATTTATTTTTGAGACAAGGTCTCACTCTGTTACCCAGGCCCAGCCTGGAGTACAGTGGTGCAATCTGAGCTCACTGCAACCTCCACTTCCCGGGTTCAAGTGATTCTCCTGCCTCAGTTTCCCAAGTAGCTGGGATCACAGGTGTGCACCGCCATGCCCAGTTAATTTTTGTATTTTTGGTAGAGACAGGGTTTCGCCATATTGGCCAGGATGGTCTTGAACTCCTGGTCTCAAGTGATCCGCCTGCCTTAGCCTCCCAAAGCGCTGGGATTACAGGCATGAGTCACCTTGCCCAGTCTCTAATTTTATTTTCAACAAGCATGTGCTGCTTTTACAATCTGTTTTAAAATCAACTTTTTAAAATGGGATCATAAAAGAAAGGAAAACCTCAGCCTGTTTCATCACCGACCAGAAAGTAAAATAAAATTTATCAGTGATCCAAGATCAAGAGATCACCCTAGACACGGGGTGGGAATGATTAGTAGTACTTTTTTCTTAGTTTTCTTTTTAACAAGTGAGGAGTAGAAAGCCTGGGGAAAGAGCATCAGATGTCCTCATCTTCCGCAGTGATGCTAGGAGGTTTAGACAATCTTGAAGCGAGCATGAAAAGACATGTAAAAGTAGGTTCCCCTAAAAATAAACAAGGGGACTGCCTACAGGAAGAAGGGCAAATCAGAAAGAACATTTTTGGCACTGTAAATCTGAGAACTGAATTAAAGTTGTAAATCCTGGGGGAATAGAAGAGTATAGAGAAGCTCAGGAGTCTGGCAGGACTGGGGGAGGAGGGCTGTCCTGGGCCTGCAGCCCTGGTGTCTGCCCTGCGGGTCACCTTGCTGGCTTTCTTTGATTACATCTCCGGGCTGCAACCTATCATAACACTCCCTTGCATTTCTACAAGGACTTTAGCATTTGCACACATACATGCTTGCTCACTCCTCCTGACAGACCTGTGAAATATAGTACCATGAGGATTTCTAGATTTGTGTGTGTGTTTTGTTTTATTTTGTTTTAGAGATGAGCTCTTGCTCTGTCACCCAGGGTGGTGGCACAGTCATAGCTCACTACAGCCTCCAACTCCTGGACTCAAGAGATCCTTCCCACTCAGCCTCCCAAGTAGCTGGGACTACAGGTATGTGCCACTACACTCAGCTAATTATTTTATATTTTCTAGAGATGGAGTCTTGCTGTGTTGCCCAGGCTGATCTCAAACTCTTGGGCTCAAGCAATCCTCCTGCCTGGTCCTCTCAAAATGCTGGGACTACAGGCATGAGTCACCACGCCTGGCTGAGAGTTTCTAGTTTTTAGAAGAAAAACTAAATGCTTTAACAAAATGAAGTGACTTGCACAAGGTTGCCCCACTGGTCCGTGGCACAGTGAAGATGAGAGTCCTGGTCCTCCATGCCAATGAGCACGTGCTACCTGGGACTGGTGGTGAGGCTCAGGGAAAACTGAGATTGTTATTACCTTTAAACCCACGCATGCCCATTGGTCCTGTGGCCCCCAGCTTCCCATCATCGCCCTTGGGCCCGGGCAATCCTGGGGTACCTCTTTCCCCGGGCAGACCTGGGGAGAAAACAGACAAATGGCAGAGCCTCAGATGCAGAACAGGAAGGATCCTCAGAGGTCATCGTCAGGTTCAAGGCTCAGCCTCCCCCACACATCCTCTCTTAGCCTTTGTGTCTGGTTTTTTTCTGTTAATCTAAAGATGCCGCCACAGCAGAGTCCAACAGGTCCACACGGACCCACCCCACGCACACCCTGTATCCGTCAGGCTCGGGATCCTCCCGCTAGAAAGGTCCAGTGCTGTTGTGAGTGACGGTAGGGGTGCCTATCCCTTTGGGGGTGTTCCTTTGCCCTTCAGCATGCTGGAGATTTAGAATCAGCAACACTTTTTTTTTTTTTTTTGAGACAAAATCTCGCTCTGTCACCCAGGCTGGAGTGCAGTGGCACCATCTCAGCTCACTACAACCTTCGCCTCCCAGGTTCAGGCAATCCTCCCACCTCACCTTCCTGAGTAGCTTGGGATTACAGGCGCACGCCAGCACGCCCAGCTAATATTTGTGTTTTTAGTAGAGACAGGGTTTCACCGTGTTGGCCAGGCTGGTCTCAAACTCCTGACCTCAAGTGATCTGCCTACCTTGGCCTCCCAAAGTGTTGGAATTACAGGTGTGAGCCATCGCACCCGGTCTAGAATCAGTAAACACTTTTTTGAGCGCTTTCTGTGTGCCAGGCCCTGCTCTGGATGCTTTTCATAAAGTATCTCATTTAATCATCACAACACTGGGAGGGATTATTCTGCCTGTGTTACAAACGAGCCAATCAGAGCTCAGAGAGAGTAAGTAAACTGCCCAAGGTCACACAGCAGTGTTGGAGGCAGGATCTGAGCCCTGTTCTTGCTGAAATAAAAGTTCATGGTCAGTCAGCATCACTTCATGCTGGATCAACAGGGCTTACAGGTACTTAGGGAGGGGGGTGGGTGGAAGAAAAAATAGCTTCTCATTTTATTTAAGGAAAAAAAAGAAAAAACACAAAAAGATCTCTTCCCTTGCATACACACAGGGAGGTATAGCAAAAGGGATTGGAGGGGAAGTCAGTAAATGGATGGCCTGCTGCCGATCAAACCCCAGGGCTCTTGGCCATGAGGCCCCTTGGCCACCTCCTGCAGTGACAGCACCATGCAGAGCCAGCATAAACAAGTGCTTGACAGAGTGAGAGCCCTGGCCCCCATGAGGCCTGGCCTAAGGCGCAGTTATCTCTGCAAAGCAGAGCACCCTTAATTAACTGACTAATTGTTCTTTCCTGCTTGGAATGTTAGTTGGTTTGCTTTGGGCGTTTTCTGGGACTTGGAGAAATCTGTCTCCCAGTAATGAATTATTCCTCTAGTCCTAAGGTCCAATGGCTGGAAGAAGACGGGTTTCTCAGAGAGAGCTGATTGGGTTTCCTCCCTTTCCCTCCTAATACAACATATCTGTTCCCAGAGTCCAATAGCTCCACTGCCACAGAATTTTTTTTTTTTTTTTTTTTTGAGACAGAGTCTCGCTCTGTCACCCAGGCTGGAGTGCAGTGGCCGGATCTCAGCTCACTGCAAGCTCCGCCTCCCGGGTTCACGCCATTCTCCTGCCTCAGCCTCCCGAGTAGCTGGGACTACAGGCGCCTGCCACCTCGCCCGGCTAAGTTTTTGTATTTTTAGTAGAGACGAGGTTTCACTGTGTTAGCCAGGATGGTCTCGATCTCCTGACCTCGTGATCCGCCCGTCTCGGCCTCCCAAAGTGCTGGGATTACAGGCTTGAGCCACCTCGCCGGGCCAGAATTCTTGATTTAGCACAAGCTATGCCCCTGGCTCCCTATCTTACGATTCCCTAGGGCAGAAAATGCAGTTCCAGAGCCCCATGAGCCCCCGAGCAGCCTCAGTGCTGACTGTAGGGAGGTTCCCTGAGAGGGGAGGGCCAGGAGTGGAGACTGGGCTGGGATCTCTCCTTCCTCCAGGCACTGTCTCCTCTACTGTGTTTGCAACGTCTTAGAGATTTAGGAAGCAGAAGGTTTGGGGGTATAATTCCTAAAATAAATAACCGGGCACCTTTCTCCCGGTTATTTGTTTCTCCCGGTTATTTATATTATTTCTCCCGGTTATTTATACTCCAACCTCTCTCTATTTCCTTTTCTTCCATCACTCAGAAGACCACAGTCTCCCAGCAAAATGTTGCCCACAGCACAGGCTGAGGAATGGACGGACTGGAGGGCAAGGTACAATGGAGGAACTCAACAGGAGCTTTGGAGACAGTGAGTCTAAGAAGCACCTTGTCTTTCTAGAAGGCCCAAAGTACCCTCCCCACCAGCCACTGGCTCTTCAGGGCTGTTGCTGTGTGCAGCAGGATGGGGAGCGGGGGATCAAAAGGGGAAGGGATAGGCATTCATGACCCATTCGTAGACCTGGGCAGGGTCGGCAGGAGCCATGGTGGGGCGGGAGGGTGGCAGGTGGATGCTGATCAGGAAACACTGATGGGACAGCATCTTTGAAGGGTTGGTCTGAATCTCAAAACATGTCCAACGCCTTCTGCACGCTCTGCTCACACAGACCCTGACTCCTGGGCTGGGAAGGGGCTTCAGGGAGCTTCGGGCCTGTACTGTACCCTTTTCCTTCAGATTGTGGCACTTGCTAAGAAAAAGTATGTGCTGCATCCCATCGTGACACCAGCAACCTCTTAGTCTCTTGTTGGAACAGAGCGTTTGAGGCGGAGTTGACTGGGTGCTCCCCTGGGCAGCCCTGGCATTTATACCATCAAGAAAGTAGGTAGTAGAGATGGATTGGGGGTCTCTCCCAGATCCCTCCCAGGGGCATGCCCATTACCTCGAAGCCCAGGCAATCCAGGGATGCCAGGCCTGCCTTCCTTTCCTTCATCCCCCTGATCACCTTTGGGTCCCGGTGGCCCTGGAAAGGCAAAAACAGCACTGAGGTTAGGGAGTTGCCTTCTGGAACAGGACCAGGTCATCTGGAGAGGAAACAAAATGCCGTCTCTGAGGAGAGGAAGGGACAGCATTAGCTCTGGAAACTCACAGGGAACCCTCAGCCCAGTCTCAGGGGGCATGAGAAAGGCTTCCTGGAAGAAGTAATATCCAAAGTGAAATCTCAAAGAGAAAGAGGAGTGAGCTAAGTAAATAGAGGGTTGGGAGAGTGTGCTATGGACCGAATATGTGTGTCCCCTCCCAAAACCATATGTTGAATCCCTAATCCCCAATATGACAGTTTTAGGAGGTGGGGTCTTTGGGAGGTAATGAGGTTTTGATGAAGTCACGGGGATAAGCCCACATGATGGTTTTATAAGAAAAGACACCAGGGAGTTCTCTCTCTCAAATAGACACAGCAAGAAGGCAGCAGTCTGCACACCAGGGGGAGAGTCCTCACCAGAACCCGGCCCTGCCACACCCTGATCCTGGACTTTCAGCCTCCAGAGCTGTGAGAAATAAATGCCTGTTGTTTAAGCAGCTCAGTCTATGGTATTTTGTTGTGGCAGCCTGGGCTGACTAAGAGTAAAAAGGGACAATTCCAGGCAGAGGGAATAATCCCTACAAAGGTTGAAAGTGAAGACAGAGATATGTAAGCCACAGCGGGGTAAGAGGTGGGGGACACACTGGGATGAGAAAGTGGAGCTTTTAGAGACCCGGCCTGAGTGTTGGACTCAGCTTCTCCTGAGGGCACCAGAGGCCACAGAGGGGCCTGAGAGAAGAGCTCAACCAGATTTGCACATGAGGAAGATGACTCAGGCTGCAGTGTGGCAAATGGGTGGGAACAGGAGGGAGGCTGAGGCAGAGCTTTCAGTCCAGCCAGGTGGGATGTGAGACCCCTGGATGAGGAGCACGGCCATCAGAGGGTTGTCAGGGACATGAACGAGCTGCTTAGGAAGTGGAAGAGACTGACTTTGGTGAAAGTTGGGGAGGAAGAGGCTGGAGTCATGCTCAGATGTCTGGCTTTTGCACTTGGATGGAAGAGAGGTTTCTAATCTTTCCTGAGTGGGGCTGCCCTCCAGGCTGGGGCTCCTGCGTGCCAGGGATTCTGTCATATGTGATTGGATCCAGTCCCCACGACAATGCTGTGTGCTGCAGTTACTCATCTGAGACCACACAGCCGGTGAGTGAGTGAGGCAGCTGTGGTTTCAACCCACATGTGACCTGCCTGTGTCCACTCTGCAATACCCACAGGGCTAGACGTCTCACCAGTTACAGAATCTTCTTGCCAGCCATGGTTGCACCTGCTGTTCCCAAGCCAGTGAGCCCATGAGCCCTCCCTGCCACCCTCCTCCAGTCACTACCAGCTCTCAGGTGACTCACTGCCCCTTCCTCACAAAACCCTCTCTGACCCAGTGTGCTGAAAGTTGGTGTGAGTTGCTTGAATGCGTGTGCTTGGTGCCATTTGACAAGTAATCTCACCCTGCCTTGTCCTCTTGTCATAGTGATTGTGTCCCATCTTTCCTAAGAAAATTGCCAACTCCCCGAGACAGGACCATACCCTTTACATCCCTGTACCTGCTGTGAAGACCCAGACTCCAAGCTCTCACCTCCTGCTGCTTTTCAAGAGAAAATGAGGACCATGGGGCCTGGCATGGTAGTTCATGCCCGTAATCCAGCACTTTGGGAGGCTGAGGAGGGTGGATCACCTGAGGTCAGGAGTTTGAGGCCAGCCTGGCCAACATGGTGAAATCCCATATCTGCTAAAAATACAAAAATTAGCCAGGTGTGATGGTGGATGCCTGTAATCCCAGTTACACTGGAGGCTGAGCAGCAGAATTGCCTGAATCTGGGAGGCAGAGGCTGTAGTGAGCCGAGATCGTGCCATTGCACTCCAGCCTGGGTGACAAGAGTGAAACTCTGTCTCCAAAAAAAAAAAAAAAAAAGAAGAAGAAGAAAAGAAAAGAAAAAAAGAAAAAAGAAAAAAAAAAGGGGGGACCATGAAAAAAAGCCTTTATAGTGTCTTTACCCCCTTAAATTCATGTCTACCAGGAACCTCTGAATATGACTTTATTTGGAAATAGGGTCTTTGCAGACATAATTAGTTAAGATGAGGTAATACTGGGGTAGGGCAGGCCTCAGTGCAATGGCTGGTGTCCTTGTAAGAAGGGAAAAGAGAGACACAGAGATATGAGAGCACATGTGAAAACAGAGACAGAGATTGGAGTGATGTATTCCCAAGCCAGGAAACACCAAGAATTGCCAGCAAGTACCAGCGGCTAGAAAGGGCCAAGGAAGGGTCCTCCCCCTGAGCTTTCAGAGGGAATGTGGCCCTGTGGACACCTTGATTTCAGACTTTGAGCCTCCAGAACTGTGAGAAAATAAGCTTCTGTTAAACCACCAAGTTTATAATGTTTTGTTATGGCAGCCCCGGGAAACTGAAACACACAGACTCGCAGCCCAGCAGTAACGTCTTGCACAATAAATATTTGATGAATGAGTGAGTATATGAGATCAGAAGGTGTTAATAATACATAGAAAACAACCAGCCAGCCAAGATCGAGATGTACTGATACCTTCCTCACGCTGGCACTGTCCTCAGAACCTAACCAAACTTGACAGCTGTTTAATAATTCCATGGCACGCACGCAGGGAAAAAAGCAGTCAACAATTCTTCAATTCACAAGTAATACAAATGATTTAAGAAGGACTAGGTTTTGTGATCCCAGTTTTCAGACCACAGGACTGAGTCAGAGAACCTGTTGGGAATAGATCAAAGATGGCGCAGAAATTAAGGGCTGAGTCAGGAAGCAAATGTGCTCCACTACCCCTTCCCAGTGATCTCCCCTTAAGGCCAAGGCCAAGGCTGCAGCAAAGGGAACCGGGAGAGGGTGCCTGGGTCTCTGCTGCTGGGCTGGATGCCCACCCCTTTCTCTCTTCTCTGCCTCCACCACCCTGGGTGCTCCAGCAACCGAGCTGGTCACAGACGCAAGGGACTGCACCCTCCAATTTCAGCTGTCCCTCAGATGCAGGTGCAACCTGCAGGGGGGTCTTCCAGGCGTCCCTCTTGCCAAGGGAGGATGCTGCCCGAAGACCCTGATTTGGGGCCTCGGGGTGGTAGACATCATCTGAAAGGTGGGCATTGAGTATGGATATCGAGTCTTGGGTTCAAGTCCTGATTCTATTAAATGTGGGTAAAAAAAAATTCCTTTCTCGTGCAGTTGTAGTGAGGACTGAGTGGATTCAGTGGCATGATGACTAGAGAAGGGCTTCAAAGCCTTGAGTGAAGGGAGCCATCCCGATCACCTCACTTTGCATAATGCCTCCTCACTGCAAAAAAAATAAAATAAAATAACGCCTCCTCAGAGCCATTATAGGATGACAACTTCCAGGTATTCCTGGTGCACCTGAAATCACCCTGTGGAGTTTGGCTGGCTCATCCTGGGAGAGGCAGGTCTCAAGAACGTGCTACAGAGATTTTTTTGTTTTGTTTTTGAGACAGAGTCTGGCTCTGTTGTCCAGGCTGGAGTACAGTGGTGCAATCTCGGCTCACTGCAAACTCCGCCTCCCGGGTTCACACCATTCTCCTGCCTCAGCCTCCCGAGTAGCTGGGACTCCAGGCGCCCACCCCCACACCTGGCTAATTTTTGTATTTTTAGTAGAGATGGGGTTTCACCGTGTTAGCCAGGATGGTCTCCATCTCCTGACCTCGTGATCCGCCCGCCTCGGCCTCCCAAAGTGCTAGGATTATAGGCGTGAGCCAATGCGCCCAGTCGGATTTTTTTTAAACATAACTATGTGGTTATCAGGGTCTTTACTAGAGATTAACTGGGAAGAAGGTGGGGTGGGCAGTAAAGGTGGGCACCAATTCCCAGCACCATCCTCAGATGGTACTGGCCTGACTGACTCAGAAGGGCTGATGATTTGGCCAGAGCCTCGAGGGGCCAACCCGCCAGGTGCTCCGAGGACCAAGTGTGTCTTTAAATTACTGATGCTGCCCATAAGTGAAGCAATCTCGGGATCTAACTTTTTAGTGTGTTTACTGACACTATCCTTTCTTCAGAAACCCAAGCTGGAAATCTTGAGCCTGCTCTGATTCCTCTTTCCTGTCTCCCTTTTGCATCCCTTTCTAGCCACACGCATCTGTGATTTGAGGCTTCTCATAAAGGAGGGTACTTCTCATGTCTCCACCTCCTTCCTCACTGCTTCCACCCTCGTCAGGTCCTTATGGCCTGGCTCTGGCCTTTATAAGAACCTCCCTGTCTTGTTCTCTCTCCAGCCCATGTGAGCCTTCCTGTCTGATCAATCTCTCTGAAAAAACAAAGCAACCAAAGGGACTCAGAGCACGGGGAGGCCCCTCACTGCACCACAGGCGCAGCTTCCCCTGTCAAGGCCCCTGCAGATCACTCATGATCTGACCCTTCTGCTGCAAACTTACAGCTCAGTGCTCATGGTCACCAACTTTCCTCCACCTCTGCATAAATGCTGTACTCATGGTGTCCCTGAACATTAGCCAAATCCTAAGAGTCCAGTCCCTCTTAGTCCTGAGTCTGCCTTCATGCCCACTGACCTGGTTTGGCTGTGTCCCCACCCAAATCTCATCTTGAATTGTAGCTCCCACAATTCCCATGTGTTGTGGGAGGGACTCAGTGGGAGGCAACTGAATCATGGGGGTGGGTCTTTCCCTTGCTGTTCTCGTGAGAGTGAACAAGTCTCATGAAGTCTGTTGGTTTTATAAAGGGGAGTTCTGCACACACTCTCTTGCTGCTGCCATGTAAGATGTGCCTTTGCTCCTCCTTCACCTCCTGTCATGATTATGAGGACTCCCCAGCCATGTGGACTGTGAGTCCATTAAACCTCTTTTTCTTTATAAATTACCCAATCTCAGGTATGTCTTTATTAACAGTGTGAGAACAGATGAATATACCCACCTTCTGATCTCTTAGTGTTGCACGGGCAGAGCCCCCAAATCTCAGAGCTGGAAGG